ATTGTAATAACATTGTGAGTGTAACCTTGTCACATCTTGAAGACTTTTTGTCATTCTGTGCTCATTCCTTCACTGACATCATTGGACTTAACTGATCAAAGTTGAACATTAATTTGTTCCTGTCTCTGAAGTTTAGCAAAAGCACACTGAATTCTTGTTTTCTAAGGTGAACGTTAATAACATACCATGTGTAACTTAATGGAGATACTATACTTTCTACTCCATTGCTCCATTGCAGAAAAATATGTTGATAAAAGACTAATCTCTAATATACAGTGCTTGTATTGCTTCATACTAATATTAATCCACTGAGATTGTATATAAAGTTTTCATAATGACCTGTTCATGGTGCCATTATTTCTTCATATGCCAGGGGGGCTGAAGATGATCCCTAGTTTTATATCTCAGCTTCCTCTTTTATTAAGTAAATATGTTTTGTGACATTTACTAAGATAAATGCCTCAGCCATTATTTCACTAATATATGCCTCAATTTAAATATATTTTTTTAAATTTGCCAGAAATAGTATCCTATAAAATATTCAGGTGAGTAAAAATATCCTGTTAACAAAACATGGGAAAATATTGTTGTTATAAATTTATGGCTACAAAATTTGAAGCTCTAAACCTTTTAATAGTGTGTAATTCTTGTAATACAAACCTTTGAGTGAATTATTTTCTCTCCAGCTCTAGGGATTTAAGTTTGAAAACCTAAAAATAAATGCATGGACGTTGTTCAAATTTCACTAATAAAGCCAGGACACTCTAGATGTACTCATCTGCAGGACCACCTGACTTACTCATACTCTATTCCTAGCACATGAAAGGAATAGACTTAAGTCTCAGATTGTTTAATTTTCAATGGAAGATATGTAGCAGACTCATTTTAACCATAACAACAACTTTCTAAAAGAGAAGGTGATAGGAACAGAAGTGGCAGTTTTTGAGAAATAAAGGCACACTAGCCCAAACATTTTTTTCCTCCCAAAAAGAGAAATTCACTCAAAGTAGCTCATGTAAGGAGAAGATAATTATAAGGACACTATAAACAATTTCATGGACAGATAAGACCAGAAAAACAAGTGCAGCTGCTCTGTAACTAGAAAGTCAGAAATTGGGACCACTCCCTTTGTCTTTCAGTCTCTTCAGTTCTCTCATCACAGCTTCTTTCTGTTTATCCATCTTAAACACGAGGCAACTAACTGTCATCTTATACTGTTTATTGGATCTTCCATTGAAAATAATCTCATCTTTTGTCTATCTTCTACTGACAAGAATCTTTTATTCTTTTGTTTAGTAAGACAAAAGGACTTTGTGGCTTATACAGATAAGATATGTGGCTTGTTCTTATACAGATTTAACAAATCTGTATAAGCCTGACAACGCCTGGCACTGGCCATTAAGCAATCAGTTGGCTGGCTTGCATCATGTGCCTACTCTTGGCACAGCTGACTGTTTCTGGGAATCTGAATGATTATCATTATTCTACTTGATTTACATGGCTGTGGGTCTATAGGACATGATAAAGGAAAGGTCTCTGACCTACAAATAAGTACTTAAAGTGGTGAAAGTTCTAAGCTTTTATTGAGAAATTACGAGAGGATTAAGGAATTCTCGAATTAATTGAAACCAGAGTAGATTTTGCCTCAATTTTATCTCACTCACTTTTTACAATAGTGACCTAATATTTACTAACTGTACTAAAAAGACATTCATCTCCCAATATTTTAAACTGTATCAATATATTAACTGTAAATAAATGTGATCAATAGAAAATGTGTAATCTTAGAGATTCTTCAGACAGTAACAGGAAATATTCTACAACTGCCATTTCAAAGATCTTATAGAATCATGCCCTTTTGTGTTTCTCCCTTAAGTAAATATTTTGGTAACGTAGATTCTTCATCTTCTTCTAAGTTGACGTATTCTGTAATTTTTCTGTTTGCTGCTTATTTTTTCAAATATATCTGTATATTATGTAAACTGAGTCATAACTGGTATTCTGAGATACGAAAAAACACAGCCTGCTCTCATTTTGTCCTATTAAATTCATTCTTTATTCTTTCCTGCAGCTTCTCTAGTTTAATGCACTTTTAAATCAACCTATCCTTAATTCTTCTCATTACAAATTTCTTTTTTTCTCCTCTCAGAACTACTCACCACATTATATCCCCAGGATATGGCAGTATCTTAAGAGAAGACGCCATACCTCCTAATTTTTTTTTATACGAGAGCTTGATTGCTTCATCCATTAAGTTGTCCCCAAGTCAGTATGAGACAATCAGTATAAGGCAGTTTTTCAATAAGAACTCTCACCCTTGTATAAGCAAATATGGCACTATTGATCAATGACCTAAGAATTAATATAACAACTAGCATGTATAAGGCAATTACTATTTGTTATGAGATCTGAAAAGGACTTCACCTGCATTTTCTCATTTAATCCCCAAAACAACTCTCAAATAAAGGCTATTTCCTTAGTGGAACAAATGTAGGACATTGGCTATGTTGGAAGATTGCAGTCAAAGCAAAAAGCTTCAAATCTTTAAGAACTTCAAGCTAGAGGGGAGAGATCTAGACAAATCATGTTCCTCACAAACTATGTATAAGCATCCAGCATAAGGTGAGACAGTCTAAATGCTAGTTCCACCCTTTCATGCTTTCTGTTCTTAGCAAATTAGTTATTGAACTTTCATCAGATGCATCAAATTATATAAATAAAAATTTAAAAAATATATATATATGAGGTGGAGAAAAATCTGTGCTTTAATAAATAATCACTCCCTAATGAAAACAGCAGTTAAAATTAAATTTTAAAAATCATTAGTTTTAGAATAAAACAGGAATAATCTCTCTTTTGGACATTGGTAAGCAATATCTAGTTAAATACAAACCAGAAAATACATGCTAAGTGGAATTTTCACCCATTGTGCATCATTTTTACCATGTTTTAGAACTGGGTATTATATTTTTCTTGCTTCCATTAAAAAACATGTTGGATACTCAACAGTTAATAAATCTCTGATGGCAATATACACTAATGCTGTCCAGCAGTACATTTTATCTACTTCTAGAAATTTATCTTCCTAGGCAGGAAACAGCATTTACCATTTTACACTCTTATTATTATACATGACTTTTGGGGGGGAATAAAAATTTTTAAGTTAATGAATGAGTGATCTTCATGTAATTACTAGTTAAGAAATCATGAGCAACTCACACTCTGGATCTCAGTGGTCTTTTCTCTAAATGAGGCAGTTGGACCAATTGACCCCCAATGTACCATATTAAGATACTCTTTTCTGTTGTGGAGAAGCATGCCCAAAGCAGACAGACAGACAGAGGGAGAGACCAGAGAGAGAGAGGTGGGGGGGACAGAGACAGAAAGAGAGAGCTGTCCATAAAAAAAAAAATACTGGATTAATAAAAGCTAGAAGATTACTCATAACAAGAATATGGGCATGGGATAATGTCAAAAGACAACTCGTTGTTAGAAAAGTTTCATCATTTTGACCAAAAAGGAAGTAACTGAAGCAAGTGATAAATACTGTATGGAGAAGGACCCAAGGAGATGGGGAGGGTGGGGCGGTGGGGGGGGTGGGAGAGGAGTGGAGGGGTGGGGGGGGGGGGGGAGTGGAGGGATGGAGGGTGGGGGGTGGGGGGGAGTGGAGGGATGGGGGATGGGGGGAAAATGCATGGGAGGAAAAAGAATAATTGAAATGCTACAAATATTGATTCACATGGCTCTTGCATTATTTACAATAGCAAGTGCCTCAAAATATTACTTGATATCAAGTGAAATAAAAGCCATTTTCTGCCTAAACTGCTCAGTCTAGAAGTTTGAAACAAACTATACCCCATTCTCTAACAAAATTGTTAAACTGAAATTACAAAAGAGTTGTAATCTGCTCAAAGTTTGAAAGACATGGTTGGTCTATTTACAGCAGACCAGCTGAACCACAGTTTTCAAGAATGTCAATGTGCAATAGTTAAAATATTAATATATTAACATATCATGGGCTCTAAACCTTTCTTGTCATTTTTCATTGACACAAATATACTTCTTATTTAACTTATTCAATAAAGCAATCCCTAAAGTTTATTTAGGTAAAAATGCACTTGCCAACAGAAATAGCTAAAACCAAAATTACATTACCTAAAAAATTCTGGAAAACTATGAGAAATTTATTTCTATTCAGCAAATTAAGAGAATTTCACTCAGAATATATTTTCTTGTTGCATATCTCACCACGAAACTCCGGTAATATTAATACCTAAGAGAAGCTTTTTAAATTTTAAAAACAACATTGTTGTATCACTATGTAATTTGCAAATACTTTTGAAACACTTCAGAAAGAACTAAAGAAAACTGCTTTCACATCCATTTGAAAATGTAAATCCATTTCTGCAACCAAGTTGACTGTTTTCCTTTGACCAAGTTAGTAAAGCGAGTGGAGTAGGGAGGTGGTGTTGGGAGAGCTTCTCTGCAAAGCCACCTGCCCGAGAAGCCGGGCAGTTACAGTCCACGCTACAACTTCACCAGGCTGGGTTTTGTCAGACCCGGCAGCTAAATGGGTGACGCTACAGATGAGCCGTTTTGTTGTGTTTATATAATGTTGAAAATGATTATGTATAATTTTAAAACACACACATTGCTTTTAAACAGGTTGCAAAGTGATTTTAGAAACGACAGGACCCTGTCCTTGGTGCTCGATAAAGTTCCAGCTCCTCAGAAGTTGCTGACACCGGTGGCCCGCTGGCCAGAACTCAAAACGCGCTCCCTCTTGGTGGCATCCAGATGCCCTTCAGAGAAGTCAGGGACAGAAGAACCCTCCAGGCTGCCCCGCGGCAGGCTGAAAAGGGGAAGCCCTGTCTCAGGGAGGCCCTGGCCTCGGCGGTGCCCGAGTGTAGTAGTCTAGTGATGGCCCGTGGTCTCCGCAGAGCCCCGTAGCCATTCGGGCGGTCTCCGCGTCAAGCCCCTCCAAACGCGCGACTACCCACCTGGGGGCGCTGGGCCGCAGGGGGCCTGGTCCGGGCTCTCAAGCCGCTTGCCTGGTGCGGCAGGCAGCATTGTGGCGGCTGAAGCCGAGGACTCTCCCGGTCAGAGGCTCCCCGCGATTCTCTCTTCCTCTGGCGATCGGCTGTCCCCAGCCTGCTTGCCACCCGGGGTGGCTGCGGCCAGGTCTCAGGAAACGCAGCCCCAGGGCTCATGCCCGCAAGGCCGGGACTCCGCTCCGCTGGGCGCCCAGAGGAAGTGAAACTGATCAGGGGCCTGCTTTTGCATCCCTTTTCAAAAGGCTGCTTGGTTTCTTATAATACTTCTCCTCCTGTTTCCTTCCTCACCTTTTCACCTAGGACATATTTAGGCCCCTCTTACTGTAGCTCTTCTTGTCCCTTTCTAGGTGTTCCATACTGCCATACTGCCCCCACTTCCAGGCAGACGTAGGGATACCAGAAGTGAACATTTGGTGGAAAGAGAGAATAATTAGATAGATGGATGGGTAGATACACAGATGATAGATACATGGATATAGAAATGAAGATAAAGATAATATTGTAATTTAAAAAATATTTTATTTTACTTTCTAGGCTAGGTTCATAAATTGAAAAGTGATTTAAAATCCCATATAAAATGTATTTCTTACTCTTGCTCCAATTCAGAAATAGACTCAGTAAAAAATTATTTCTGGCTCTACATAGCCTCTCCAAACAAGTTTGTTTGCTTGTTTTAAAGATGGAGATATATCATAATGTCCCAGAACCTTAAAACGAATGTCACTTCTCTCAAGCACGTCTAAGCTAGTCATTTGCCCTTTGAAGCTGAAGGTATTTTTTGAAGATCAATTTGGTAGTAATACATAGTTTAAATGTTCCTCTCCTCTTCTTATAATGGGAAGGCTTGCTTTTGAAACTTTCTCTCAGATGAAGTCTTTTTTAGGAATACTATAAATATCAGGTACTAAAGAAAATGTTATTTTTTTCACATAAATCAACTTATTAGAACTTTATAACATAATGTAGAAAACTTGGAGAAGTATGTGAAATGTCCAAAAAACTTGAAAACAATTATAGGTTAAATTGTATTTATCTGATTTCCAGTAGTTCCTTTACATCATTATTAATTTTATGCTGATTTTCTGAACTTTATATAATGGAACAAAAGATTTCATCTAATTTATGAAATAATATTATATTGAGAAAAAATGTTGTCTTCTATATATGCCTGTTAACTGAGAGACTTCAGCATAATAGGCAAAACAGACATTTGGATTGCAGGGTTTGTATATTCTTCAGTGTTTCAGAAACTCAATTCTTAGGAAAGTATGTCTTAAACAAACCCATTGGAGAAAAGAATGTCTCCATGGATGTATTTGCTGATATATGTATTCCTGATAAGAGCTACTTTAATCAACATGAACACTCCAGCTGATGCTCTTCAGATTAGTGTCCAGAACTTGAAAGGCATCTATTTATGCACACAAAAACTTGTTAATAAAGACCCTGTTCAGACAGGAACTTATATCTGTCACATGAACAGGACAGCCTTCTTGTATGAAGAGCACTGGATTGGAAATCAGAAGGCTGCGGCTGCCATCCTGACTCGGCTCCTCAATATCTGGGTGTTTGGAGCAATTCTTAATATTTTTGAGCCTTGCATTTCTCATCTAATTTATTCATTATTAATGAATAAATTAAAATTATTGTATTCAAGTTTCTGCTAGATATAAAATGTTATGACACAGTCTCTAATAAAACTATAGAAAATAAGATTTATATATGAAAATTAAGTATATTTTCAGATGCTCATTTCCACTATTTATGTCAAATGAAGCTAGTAAATAAAAAAAGTAAAAACTCTGCTGAAAATTATGGACTGTTTTTTTTTTTAAAAAGATTATGTGTTAGAAGATCTTTAAAATCTTCCATTTAAAAATTATTCTAGCTTCATTTTAGTTTTGTTTTGAATAAGGAAATAGACATTGACTACCCCAATGGCTGACTTATTCTTTTGTTTTACTGTTAACAACTACTCTTTTTTTTTTTTTTTTTTTTGAAGCGGAGTCTTACTCTATTGTCCAGGCTGGAGTGCAGTGTCATGATTTTGGCTCATTGCAACCTCCACCTCCTGGGTTCAAGTGACTCTCCTGCCTCAGACTCCAGAGTAGCTGGCATTACAGGTGTGCACCACCATGCCCAGCTAATTTTTGTATTTTTAGTAGAAATGGGGTTTCACCATGTTGGTCAGGCTCGTCTCAAACTCCTGACCTCATGATCTGCCCGCCTCGGCCTCCTAAAGTGCTGGGATTACAGGCATGAGCCACCGCACCCGGCCATCAACTACTCTTTTTATTTTAAATATTCTATATGCTATGTTTTATGCACGAGTTTCACAATATTCATGTCATTTGGTTCTCAAAACAAGGAAGCTTTAACAATATTTTACAAATGAGAAATCTGGTCATTGGAAACTGTAAGTGGTAGAGCTGGAATTCAATTATAGATCTGACTTCATAGCCTGCCCTCTTAATTAAAACTGGACCTCCTGCCCCACTTCCTTTTAAGATCACATAAGGCCCTTGCTAAAGATTACATAAACATCATAGGATAGATTATTCATACATACCCATTGGAAAAATTTTTTTATTTCCCTATCCACTTTTTCACAGAGCTGTAAGCTCATACAATTAAACACAAATATCCTTAAAAATAGGTATGAACTGTACTTATAATTTATTACAATTGTGCTATTTGGTTGAGGATATATAGATGTTCACACACACACACACACACACACAGACACACGATAACCTAAGTCTACATGTTTTCTAACTTTGCGGGTACATTTATAAAAATATATTTCAGAAGACTTTTTTACTCATTTTGGTCTTGTTTCTGTGCCAAGCACATCTTTAATCACAGTTGACTTTATTTTTCCCCTGCTTTCTCCCTTCAGGAGAGGATACCATCCGGAATGTTGGGTTATCTGTTGGTTCGTATTTGTTCTCAGGGAAGAGGCACTTAGTAATTCTCACACCGAGAGGCTTTTTCAGGCAGAATGCTACCAGTAGTGTGTAATCGCAGGTTTCTGATTTTACCTCTGATACAGAATGACAAAAAATGCTAGCCACAGTAGGTTTCTTGTTTCTCAATATATCAAACTCCTGGATCCATTGACTTCTTCCCTTGCATTATTTTTCCTAGCAGCATATTGGCAGCCTCAATATTATTACCCCATTCTGTGAAGATTATAAGAGCCTCATGCTGGCCCTGGGTTCCAATAAATGGACAGCTAAAGCTGTTTGGTGTTGCCCTGCACTTGCCATGGCTGATCTGTTGTGTCCTTTGCACACTAGATGCTGTTGTGCATGCTATTGGCTTTATTTCTGCCTTTAGATTCTGGATATGTTTAAAGAACCGAACTAGTTCTTTTCTAAAGCAATAATCTATTGTAAAAGTGCAATAGTTGCTTCTTCATGGCTCTTTGTTAATTCGGGAGTTTTCCTCTTGACAGTCATGTCTGGACTTTTAGACACTGAATCATATTATTCCCCCAGGGTATTACTACACTTCTTATTTACTTCCTCAAAACTAAAACAAATACCAGGAATGTCTGAAGGAATTTTTAGCAATAGTTTTTTTTGTGTGATTACTGGCAGACTTCATTTTCTTTTGCTTCTTCACATTTAATTGAATTAATACTAATCTGTATAGCAACTCCCCCAAAGAGGTCCACATTCTAATCTGCAGAAACTGTGTATATATTTCTTTACATGGAAGGTGGAATTAAATTAAGGATCATGAGATGTGAAGATTATCGTGGATTAACCAGGTAGGCCCAGTGTAATCATAAGAGTCCTTATAAGATGGGGACAGAAAAGTGAAAGTTGGAAAGGAGATGTGACGAGAAAGCAGAGATTGGAGTAATATGCTTGGAATATGGAGGAAGGGGCCACAAGCCAAGGAATATAGGTAAACTCTAGACTGAGAAAGGTGAAGAAATGAATTCTCCTGCAGAGCCTATGAAAGGAACCAGCCCTGTTGACATCTTGGCCTTTAGCCCATTGAGACTGATTTTGGACTTATTACCTCCACAATTCTAGGATAATAAATTTAGGTTGTTTTAAGCCACTAAATTGTGGTAATGTGTTTCAGCAGCAGCTAACTAACACACCACTTTACGGTGATAGGAAGCTAACACAAAATTCAGTGATAAGTTGTTTGCAGGATGATTCATTAATAGGGTAAATCTTTCTGCATTATTCTAACTAAACATACATTAATGAATATTTAATTCCCTTCATCATTAATGTGCTAAGTCCCCATAGAGCAATATTTCATTGATAATTGGTGATTGTGGTAGTTCTTTGATATTCCTTCCTGCATGGCTGTTTGCATTATGTACTCGCTTTTGTTCTCTAGTGACTGCATAAATCTGCTGATTCTTCTTTTTTCAATTATATTGAGTCTGCCTAGTAGAAGTAAGCAGGTTTTCTGCTTATTCCATAGCACACACCCCCACCACTACCCCTCCAGTCAGAATCCTGCCTGTGCTAACAAGCAAATGTGAGTCTGCTGGAAGGAAGCTTGCTCAGTAGATCTGACTTTTAACAGCCAATACTATAAAACACTTGAATGTCAAGAAAGCTGAAATTCTCCATTTCTTTTTTGTTTTTTGTAAAATATGGTAAACTGCTTCCATTTTTACCCCATAATTATTGATTTCATTGGAGTTTCAGCCCCACTCCTTACCTAACACAATAACACAGATCTCTCCATATCCAAACGTATTAGCTTCATTCATCAACAGGATAAATAAAATAGCATTGCTATTCATATTTTTATTATTAATTCAAAAAGTTTAGTAAATATTTACTATATGCTGTGCACTGAGCATACAGTGATAATAAGATATACCCCTTGCTTCCAAAAATATCTTCCTTCTAGAAATTCTGCTTTAGTTTTTGTGGAAAATTGTGTAGGGTAAAGTAACACTAAATAGCTCTATGATAATTGAAAAATACTTTTAGACTATTAGAAGAAACAAAAATATTCTTGTAACTATTGTGATTGTTAGAGCAGGTTCCATTATAAATAATTCATACTAAAGAAACATTGAAATTGGAAGTGTTTGGAACCAGAAGATAGCAACAGGAAGTGGTTGGAGAAAAATTTCAACAGGAAGAGAAACAAAGATAATGTGTTTCAGTCAGTGATGTAACTATAGCTACGACTGCGCTTAGGACAGGTTCCCAAAACTGTACGCCTTGACATGATCTAAGAATTGGAATAGAATATAGAATATC